TCAGAGAAGAAAAATAAATAAAAGGAATCCAGATCAGAAAAGAGGAAGTAAAGCTCTCACTGTTTGCAGATGACATGATACTGTACATAGAAAACCCTAAAGATAGTATCAGAAAATTACTACAGCTAATCGGTGAATTTAGCAAAATTGCAGGATACAAAATCAATACACAGAAATCACTTGCATTTCTATATACTAACAATGAAAAATCAGAAAGAGCAATTAAGGAATCAATCCCAGTCACCACTGCAACAAAAAGAATTAAATATCTAGGAACAAACTTTCCTAAGGGGACAAAAGAACTGTACACAGAAAATGATAAGACACTGATGAAAGAAATCAAAGACAACATAAACAAATGGAGAGATAATCCATGTTACTGGGTAGGAAGAATCAATATTATGAAAATTACTATACTACCGAATGCAATCTACAGATTCAATGTGATCCCTATTAAATTACCAATGGCATTTTTCATAGAACTAGCAAAGTGAAAAGACAGCCCTCAGAATGGGAGAAAATAATAGCAAATGAAACAACTGACAAGGGATTAATTTCCAAAATATGCAAGCAACTCATACAACTCAATACCAGAAAAACAAACAACCCAATTAAAAAGTGGGAAAAAGATCTAAACAGACCTTTCTCCAAAGAAGACATACAGATGGCTAACAAACACATGAAAAGATGCTCATCGTCACTCATTATTAGAGAAATGCAAATCAAAACTACAATGAGATACCACCTCATACTGGTCAAAATGGCCATCATCAAAAAATCTACAAACAATAAATGCTGGAGTGGGTATGGAGAAAAGGGAATGGTCTTGTACTGTTGGTGGGAATATAAACTGATACAGCCACTATGGAAGATGGTATGATGATTCCTTAAGAAACTAGGAGTAAAACCACCATATAACCCAGTAATCCCACTCCTAGGCATATACCCTGAGGAAACCAAAAAGACACCTGTATCCTATTGTTCATTGCAGCACTATTTACAATAGTTAGAACATGGAAGCAACCTAGATGTCCATCGACAGATGAACGGATAAAGAAGCTGTGGTACATATACAGAATGGAATGTTACTCAGCCATAAAAAGGAATGCACTTGAGTCAGTTCTGATGAAGTAGATGAACCTAGAACCCGTTATACAGAGTGAAGTGAGTCAGAAAGAGAAAGATAAGTATCATATTCTAATGCATACATACAGAATCTAGAAAAATGGTACTGAAGAATTTACTTACAGGGCAGCAATGGAGAAACAGACACGGAGAATAGACTTGTGAACATGGGGAGAGGGGAGAAGAGGGTGAGATGTATGGAAAGAGTAACATGGAAACTTACATTACCATATGTAAAATAGAGAGCCAACAGGAATTTGCTGTATGGCTCAGGAAACTCAAACAGGGGCTCTGTGTCAACCTAGAGGGGTGGAATGGGGAGGGAGATGGGAGGGAGGTTCAGAGGGGAGGGGATATATGTATACCTGTGGCTGAGTCATGTTGAGGTTTGACAGAAAACAGCAAAATTCTGTAAAGCAATTATCCTTCAATTAAAAAAATAAATTAAAAAAACAGAAAGAGTTGAGATTTATGGTTACAGCCGGTATGGGAGGTGGAGGGGAGGAAGGTGGTCAAAAGGTACCAACTTCCAGTTATAAGATAAACCAACCCCAGGGATGTCAGTATCACAAGGTGACTGTAGTTAACACTGCTATGTGATATGCAGGAAAGCGAAGAGAGTGAATCCTAAGAGTTCTCATCACAAAAAGAAAAGTGTTACCCTTTCATAGTATCTCTGCAGGATGATGGATGTTCACTAACCCTGCTGTGGTCATCATTTCACAGTAAATGTAAATCAAACCACCAAGTATATACATGTTGAAAAGTGATGCACATCAACCATCCCTTAATAAAACTGAGAAAAGTACCATTTAAACGTGACTGCTACAGAGCCTAATCTGCCATGGTGCCCATGAGGACAGAGAGAAGGGAGTGGGCTGGGAATATCGAAGCGTCGTAACCTGTTGAGGGGTTCAGAGAGAGGTCTGTGGGGCAGGAGCAGCAAGGGTTCCTCGAGGCTTCTGACTGAGCAGCCCACACCTGAGGTTTGTGAGATCTTAGTTCCCCAACCAGGTATTGAACCCGGGCCTTCAGGGAATTCCTGACAGTGATGTTCTTGATTGGGAAGGGACATAACTGGCACAGCAGGCTGGGGGTAATAGAAGTTCTGTCTTAAATATATTCAGTTTAAATGACTGGGCAGAATCCAAAGAGAAGCATCAGTTGCAGATGTGTGGATCCAGAGTGCAAAAGAGTGGTCTGACCTGGAGGTAGAAACTCAGTGTGTTCCTCATAAAAATGGCATTTAAATCCTGAGAACATTTCAGATCACCTGGCAAGAGAGAGAAAAGAGGAGATAGAAGAGAAAGGAAGAATTAAAGAACAGAATTTTTCAAAAAAGAGAATAAGACCCAGAAGCAAACCTTAAGAATCTACTCTTCAAAGGTTGACTGGTGTAGGATGAGCCACGTAAAAGAAGTCACCAAAGATGTAAAACTATGACAAATAGACAGTATATTAAAAAGCAGAGACTTCGCTTGCCAACAAAGGTCTATATAGTCAAAGCTATGGTTTTTCCAGTAGGCATGTATGGATGTGAAATTTGGACCATAAAGAAGGCTGAGAGCCAAAGAATTGATGCTTTGAAACTGTGTTGCTGGAGAAGACTCTTGAGAGTCCCTTGAACTGCAAGGAGATCAAACCAGTCGCTCCTAAAGGAAATCAATCGTGGATATTCATTGGAAGGACTGAAGCTCCTTTACTTTGGCCATCTGATGTGAAGAGCTGGCTCATTGGAAAAGACCCTGATGCTGGGAAAAATTGAGGGCAGGAGGAGAAGGGAATGACAGAGGATGAGCTGGTTGGATGGCATCTCCCACTCAAGGACATGAATTTGAGCAAACTCTGGGAGATAGTGAAGGACAAGGAACCCTGGCATGCTGCAGTCCATAGAGTTGCAAAGAGTCGGACATGCCTGAGCAGCAACAACAACAAAGATGTAAAGGGAAAACCATGAAAGTAAGGTGAGAAGAGAGTCTAGGAAGGGGGGTGGTCAGCTGAGCTGGATGCTTCTGGAGGGTTTACAGCACACAGTGTCCCTTCCATTACCATTTCTGCCTCTCAACAGGTTTCCCTCCTCCAAGGCTGGGGAAGGTGACATGGCCAAGACTGCTGCTGTTAGAAACCGCTGGTGACCCTGTCCCTGTGTCTACCTTTCTTCTCAGTCCTCGTTCTCCTTGTTTTCTACGAGCCTGTGACACCAGGGCTCACCTGGTCTTCTGTGAAGCTCTCTTCTCTATTGAGTCTCCATTTACATAACCCATTCCTAGTCCCCCTACTTTTGAAACAATGTTCTCTTCTGGCTTTCCTTTTCCTTCTGCCCCTTAAATGTGTGGGTTTCCTGAGGAGGTGTCCTGCACCCCTTCTTCACACTCTTTGCTCATGTCTTCACAGAGCTTCCACAGTCACTCAGCACCTGATTCCAAAATCCACATCTCAAGCCAACCTCAAGTCTTAAGACTCAAGCTCTCCTTCTTAATTCCTTGCTAACATGACTTCCCAGGTGGCGCTAGTGGTAAGGAACCTACCGGCCAATGCAGGAGACATAAGAGACAAGAGTTCGATCCCTGGATCGGGAAGATCCCCTGGAGGAGAGCACGGCAACCCACTCCAGTATTCTTGCCTGGAAAATTCCATGGACAGAGGAGTCTGGTGGGCTACAGTCCATGGGATTGTAAAGAGTCGGGCATGACTGAGCTCACACACACGTACACACAGAATGTCTAGATCAGCCACGTGCTGATATTTGAAAAGCCGTCATTGAAAGTCACTCTTCATCTTTGCTCCCAAACCCTCTCCTTCTTGTTATCGTCTTTCTATTTATGGGGCCACATCTTCCACTTGGAATTTTCGAATCCTGTTGGTTTCGTCGTCACCTTCCTTCTGGATGATCTATGGATGTGCTGCCCTTGCTCTTCTTCAGCTTGTCTCTACTCTCCACCTCGCACCATCTCACTTCCACTGCTCCGATTCCATCACCCCCTCATCCTCCCAGGTCAGGCTTGCCTCGCCTGTCCTGGAGCACAGCCAGGACTCTGTTCTAAGGCACACAGCAGCCCCTGGAGCAGCTTATCATCGGGGAGACATGACCCAGGGATCATTTCTCAGACACTCCCTGGTTAGCACCAGTGCAGCTGAGCACACATTCCAAAACCCACCCTGTTTATCCCACTGCTATGCAGCTGCTCATCTGCATCCCCTCCCTGGGCCACTCCATCATCTCTGTCTCTCAAAACATTACCCCTCCTTCAAAGCCTAGGCATGATGACATCTTCCCAACAAAGCTTCTGCAACTCGCCCAAGCTGGTACTAATCTGTTTGAATTTGAGCAGCAGATTATTTGTGCTTTCACCATAATACCTGTCTTGACCTATTTTGTGTTTTAATGATTTGTGTGTGACATACTTCCCTTCTTATGCCCTAAATATCTCAGGACAGGAGCTATGCACCTCTCATTTTTGTTCCACTACAAATCAAAACACACACCCTACACACACCAGGCCTTCAGGAAATGCCCTCCAGGGAAATGAGTGGATAGACTTAATTAACATAAATTATTGTTTTGTGTACTGATCTAGTCCTAAAGCCATGGTGCTATCATTCCTGTATCACTGATGGTAATCCACTTACTAATCTAGCCTTTCTTTAAATGCACTTAGGAAAGATGGAAAATCATGTTGTAAGGGAGCAACAAGTATGTAGGTTACTCCCTTCCTTAGGCAAAGAGAAGTTCTGTTATGTGTCATGGAAAATTAAAGCACAGTAATAAAATGTGCCAGCCAGACTGCTTGAATAATGACTTAGTGGAAACTGTTCTTGGGTCCTGACTTTCCTCTCAAGTACTTAAGCTGCACGTCCTGTTTATTTGTTTTTAGATAACGTTGACCACGATCGGTTATGGAGACAAAACCCCCCTGACGTGGCTGGGAAGGCTGCTGTCAGCAGGCTTCGCACTCCTGGGCATTTCTTTTTTTGCACTTCCTGCTGTGAGTATCTTTGCAAAAATTAAACACTTCCAATTGGATTGTAGAGGTTTACTAGCATGAGCTTTCTTTAAACAGTATGCCCTGGAACATAGCTGTATGTTTACTGGTATCATTTTTCTGATATAATGTTTACTTTTCTACATATAGCTAGTTGGATAATTTATAAAAATGGTCTTCCCTTGGAGACATTTAACCTCTCAGTCAACATGCTCCTAATACATTGAAAATAGGTGTGAAGAGTTAAAGCTGTCCTCCTCTTAAACTGATGGCTCCAGTTAAGTGTGCGAGGTGTGAGCTATCGAAGAGATTCATGTGCCCACGTGAAGTGTTTACCTCTTCGGATCCAGTTGAGTGAGAAGCACATGGATTTAAGGGGTCTTTAAAGTGTCAGATGATTTATTGTTTGTGCCATCATTGATTTTTGTTAACCACCAGTTTCTATATCATATCAGAATGAAGAGCACACTTATCTTCTCTTAAGCTTCTGATTATTTTCTCCTGAGTGGATGAAGGCTGTCTTTCTGGTTGTTTTATCCTCTTGTGTCTTCAAAGGCAGTTCGTGAAAATATTTATTACAATTTGCCTCCATCCCCAAGCTCTCTCTTTTGCACACTCCACCCCTCGTGGGGGGAAAGGAGCCCAGAAACAGGCGTGTTAGAGCCGTGGCCGCCGTGCTACTTGAGGAACCACAGCCTCCGTCTTGCTCTAGACACAGGCAGGCTCACCTCTCAGCCTCGGCCCCAGAAACCCCAGGGCACCCCTCCAAGGGGCCAAGGGGGTGGGGCCTTCAGCACCATAGCCTGAGGCTCCTGGGGCTCCACCTCTGCCCGAACCCTTTGTCCTTCCCACGGCCAGTGCTCAGCTCCAGGCTGACTGGCTGGTTGCACCCCAGACCACCCAAAGTCAGAGAAGGGTCCCCAGGGACCACGTATGAGCTTGGGTATCAGGTCTCACTTTGAATTCAGGTTTGGTCCCATTCTCCCCAGGTGTGATTGTGTTGGTTTGCTAGGACTGCTGTAACAAGGTGTTGTGACAGACTGACTATCTGGCTTGACTTATCATAACTCAATTGTCTCATGGTTCTGGGACTTCCCTGGTGGCTCAGATGGTAAAGCGTCTGCCTACAATGCGGGAGACCTGGGTCCGATCCCTGGGTCGGGAAGATCCCCTGGAGAAGGAAACAGCCATCCCCTCCAGTAATCTTGCCTGGAAAATCCCATGGACAGAGGAGCCTGGTGGGCGACAGCCCATGGGGTCACAAGGAGTCGGACACGACTGGGCGATTTCACTTTCTTTCTTTCTCGTGGTTCTGGAGGTGAAAGTTGAAAACCAAGGAGCTGGCAGGGCTGGTTCTTTCCGAGGGACCCAGAGGAGGGATGCGTCCAGGCCTCATGGACACCGTCTATGCCCTGTGTCTCCACACTGTCTCCCTCTGTCCATGCCCAGGTTTCCTCTAAAAAGGACACACCAGCCACAGTGGGTCAGGGTCCACCCTGTGAGCTCACTGCAACTTGATCACCTGTGTGACCTTTTCTCCAAAAAGGTCGTGCCCTGAGGTCCTGGGGATTAGGGCTCAACCTGTAAATTTTGGACACAAGTCAGCCCGTAACAGACCCTGAGTACATTTATTAACGTCATGTATGAATAGTTATCGCATCCAGAGAAAGTTTTTGAAGACCAGTGATGTAACGTAAGTCAAGTATTTGTCACGAAGGAAACTGTTCACAATATGTGGGTGTTTCCTGCTGAGAAAAAGTGCAAAAGAGGACAGAAAGCCTCTGTCCATCCAGAGTCACGTGAACCCGACAACCTCAGCTGTGCCGAACAAGCACCCACGTGACAACCAGATTCCCTACCGGAAAACACCTCAGAAACAGCAAAATGCAGTCTTGGGCTTTTTTTCCCCAAAATAATGGCGCCAAAGACCTGCCGCTGTTGGGTTCAATACTCATCCTGAGGCCACACGTATAACAGCCCGTGTGATCCCTCGAAGAATCACAGACACAGCAAGGGGCCACATCGGGGCGACTCACTCGCAGGGCAACAGTGTCCGCTGCCTTCCCAAGAGAGATCAAGGTCTTTCATTACCTCTTTAATTTAGAGCAGAGTCTGATAAGGTGAATTCTGTAGTTTCACACCTCTTCGAGGATTATAAACAGCAATGTGAAAGTAGGCTGACAGAACAGACACTACACCAGGAAGAGATAATAGCAAGGGACGGAAAAGAGAGCCTGTCAGAAGAGAGCAGAGACAAGTGTTCAAAGGTGTAAAGACCTGGACCAGTTCGCAGGAAGGTCATTCGTCTCCAGGCCCTGCCTGCGCCCCACCCAGGAGGTTGCCCGCCTCCATCCTGAAACCCTGGACTGTCATGGCAGAGTCAGTTGTGCTGCTGTTAGGTTAAGGGACACAGACTAATTAGTCATTCTTGAGAAGCTTTCCCAATAATGTGATTATGATTCTATATGCAGATTAAATCAATTAGTGTTGGAAATCAAAATCTCACTCACCCATAGCATCCCCTCACTGGGCCAAGCAGAGTAGACTTTACCATGGAGAATTTCACTGCAGCCTAGGTGCTGAGTTCTTACTGAATGAATGAAAGATGGTTCATGTTTACCTTTAATAAAAGAAGAAAGGGAAAAAAAGGTGGCCGGAAACACCAGTATGTCCAGTGTACCTGCCGGCAGCAGTGCTGTCGGATTGAAATTAGGGGAACACGGGCACTTTGCTAAGAAAGTCAGAGTGGATGGTGGGCCTGCCTTCCACCCAGGAAAGAAAGGGCCAAGAGAGAGAAGAGCTGTCCCTGTCTTTCCCTGGAAGTAGGATTTTCTCGTACACCACACAGGCATTTTCCTGCACATCACACAGGCTTGCAGGCCACCACCTCCGCTGGGGTCTGTTTCCCTAAGGCCCCATCCCAGTGCCTCAAGACAAGGAGACTTCTCCAGTATTCTCGGCCGAGAAGCACAAGTGGCCTAAGTCGCCACTGCCCTGGGCGGACTGTCTCCACCTGCGGACCCTCGCTTCTCTCTTGCTGAGAATATCTTTAACCTGTTTGCCAAGTACAGGGTACAAATCAGCTCTTTTAACCTGGAAGACAACAAGGGATAAATATTTTAAATATTTACCAAGGCATCTTATTTCCATTTGATGTTTATGGAGAACTTCTAAAGCTTAAAACCTCAAAGTCTATCTCACCTTAGGAAATGAATCAAGACAAAACTCAATTTCTGAGAATGTGTCTCTGCCGGTCTCAATTTGAAGGGATGGCACGTTAGCTATATTTCACACAGCAGGCTTTATTTTTAACAGACTTGTGTTTCGGTGTCTGAGCTGAGGACTGAGGGGGATGGAGGAGGGCTGGACAGGAGCCGTAACCAGACGATGAGCAGAGCTGGTGTCAGGACTGCTGTAGTGTACAGTCTGGCTCAAGAGGCCTGCAGCCCACATTTGCCATCTACTAGTGTGTGTTTCTAAGCAATGCCAGCCTGATCTTCACCACATTTTAGTTTGTTTGGCAGGTGCTCAATGCGTGTTATGCAGGGCCTGTCTTCATTTTCCAAAAGGGATTTAACTCTGAACCTCATATTTTTACATAATGAATGCTCAAAAATAGTAGCCATTGCTGTTTATTAAATTTCTACAAAAACTAAATTATGCTGCCTATGAGTGGATTATACACATCTATGCATGTAATATAAATACATAATATAAATATATGCTATAAATTCTGCTGTTTCATAGTCTCTTATGTGTTTAAGCTTCATGGAAAATGACATTAAAAGGAAAATAAATAAATCTTTCCTAAATGGTCTTAAGGAGCAGAAGGAAATTTTGGAGTTGTGAATAACTAAGAGTTGCTTTGGATTTGGAAACTGAAGTCCATTTTTATAACCTGTAAATGGAGGGAGATGTTTAAATCCACGAATAAAATCCTACAAACCAGGTTTTCATAAAGCTTAGTTTGTTCAGTCACAACCTGCGTGAGATGAAAACCTCAGACAGCAGGAGACAGTTGCTGAGAAAGAGCGATGGAAAACAGACCCTGTGACGTCGTTTCTAATTTCACAGCACAGCCTCGCGTCCTGATTGATGAGGGAGTCCGTCACTGCTCATTAACAGCAATAGTATCATCGTATAACTGTATTTAAACATAGCTGCGTTATTTATTACCTGGTTGCCATCACAGAGGTACTCAGAATTGTGGAATCTCAATATAAGTAGAATTCTCCAGTACTCTTGCCTGGAAAACCCCATGGACAGGGGAGCCTGGCAGGCTATACAGCCCACGGGGTCTCCAGACTCAGACATGATTTAGCGACTAAACCACCTCAAGATAAGGAGGAAGATTAAAGGTTATCTAGAGCCCAAAAATATCCTCATCAAGTTGTCATGCACTGAGACCTAACACGTCCCAAGGATGAGACACACCACCCCCTCCAACAGCCCTTACTATCTTTGAGTGACTTCAAACACATAAAGAAAAGAAAAACAGCCGTCCCTTACCTATGGCACAGAACTTACTTACAGCTCGTAAGATACTCGGCTGTAACCTAAGGGTTAGAGTCCTTGAAGTTTAATAAAAAGCTAATAATTTATAGCTAGCAAGTAAAATCCCAGACTCGAAAGCGGAGGGGCTCTGCTTCCCACACCAATAAAGTAGAGGCTGAGAGACAGCCCAGAGACTGGACTGAGTGAACTCTGAAACCGAGCTCAACCTGGGGCTGACATGAAGCATCTTGATTCCACAAATTTAGACCAAGGCCAACTGAAAATAGGGGACATATCAAGAGAGCAGGATTTTGGCAGATGGAGACGATATGCAGAAAAAGGCAAACCAGCCAAAAAGCCAGTGTAAACACAGAAGGATCAAGGTAGTTTTACCAGCTCCCAGACCTAATGGGTGAGCCAGAACCAAGAAGGCAAGGCGTGCTCTGAGTTTTAAGACTCTGAGGATTAAGACCCAGGAGAGGGGCTTCCCTGGTGCCTTGGTGGTGAAGAATCTGCCTGCCAGTGCAGGAGACAGGGGTTCAATCCCTGATCTGGGAAGATCCCAGGTGCCAAGGAGCAACTAAGCCCGTGTGCCACAGCTACTGAGCCAGTGCTCTCGAGCCCAAGAGCTGCAACTACTGAAGCCCACGTGCCTGGAGCCCAGGCTCCACATGAGGAGCCTGCAATGAGAAGACCAAGAATGCAACTAGATAGTAGCCCCCACTTGCCACAGCTAGGGAAAGCCCTCACAGTAATGAAGACCCAGTGCAAACAAAAACTAATGAATGAGTGAATTAATTCACTTTAAAAAATAAAAACTCGGGAGAGTAAGTATGTGCTTTTGCATTGACCTGTGCTCTCATCTTTGCTGGACAAATAGGCAAAATGGAAACATCTCCAAACCTGAGTGTCTGTGTGTCTCATCTAAATAACTGTCCTTCCCTACTTGCTTTCCTTTGGTAGGTGTGGAATTATAGCATCATGAACAGATCTTAAAATTTAATAAGATCATTCCCCCACCCTTTCATGAACAGAAAGTATAAACTGTACTAGTTGCCATCAACATGCTAAAATAGCTCCCTAGTCCACATCCACGAGACAGTAACAGCTCCAGATTTTAAATCCCCCTCATCTGTCACTGGATAGGCCTGTTTTCTCTAACTTAGGTGTAAAGAAACGCCACAGAGAAGGCCACGCAAAAGTATTTTTTTATTTGGAATTGTGGGGCCTCCTCCTACACCCTAAGAGACTGGAGGGCAGCACCTGGTGATTCCTGAAGGACAGACATCATCCTGTTTCTTGTCCAACCACTTGACATTGGCCAGTGACATAATAATAGAGGAAATCATGTTTGTTTAATAAGTAGTGAGATGATGGATAGGTTGCATACTGTTTGTCTTTTCTCAGACTCTTTTTAAAGGGTTGTGTTTTTTTTAATATTTGTCTTATTTAATGATGCTTTTCGGGGGAAATTTTTTTAAGCACTATTTCTGTATTTTGTCACAGGGCATTCTTGGCTCAGGTTTTGCATTAAAAGTACAAGAACAGCACCGCCAGAAACACTTTGAGGAAAGACGGAACCCAGCTGCCAACCTCATTCAGGTAAATGTCAGTGCACCAGGAGCACGGCCCTCCCTGCAGGGGTGCTGGGTCGGGAACCAGTCTCTCTGTGGCCTCACTTGCAAGAGCTACCCTTTGGTTTTGTTTTTAAACATGAAGCTAGAACTTAGTGCACAGTCTCGGATTTGTTCATGGGCCCCCCACTCCCAAACAGAAAAAGTAATGCCTATTTTCAGTCAATGGCCCGTGCTTTGTTTGCGCTCATTAACCATGCCAGCAAGGCCACAGGGCGTCCATGGTGGCTCGGTGGTAAAGAACCTGTCTGCTAATGCAGGAGAGCCAGCTTCGAGACCTGAGTTGGGAAGATCCCCTGAAGAAGGAAATAGCAACCCACTCCAGTATCCTTGCCTGGAGAATCCCATAGACAGAGGAGCCTGGCAGGCTACAGTCCATGGGGGTCACAAAGAGTCAGACACGACTTAGCAACTGCACAGATACAACAAGAAGGCAGGCCACACAGGTGTTAGCAGGGCCGTGCTGCTCCTGGAATGGCCTGCTTTCATGAACTACTTGGTGAAACACCATTGATCATTCAGGATGGAGCAAAAAGCCTACACTGCAGTTACCTTCTGCGGCCAGGTGTATGTGGCAGTTCTGAAGAACAACACATTTATTCAGAATGTCAAGGTTTAGTACTTGGGGGATCACTTTTAATGCCGTCTAGAGCAATATCTAGAAATACTTATTTTAAGAACTGGTGTTATGGAGTTCATCAGTGCTTGAGCACATTGAAAAGTGAAAGTCGCTCAGTCTTGTCCAGCTCTTTGTGACCCCGTGTACTTAGTCAATGGAATTCTCCAGGCCAGAATCCTGGAGTGGGCAGCCTTTCCCTTCTTCAGGGGATCTTCCCAACCCAGGGATCGAACCCAGATCTCCCACATTGCAGGCAGATTCTTTATCAGCTGAGCCACAAGGGAAGCCCTTGAGCACATTACTTGAAGCTAACTCATAATGTATAGGTTCGGCATTTAATCTTCTTTTCAGTAACTCGGGGTTTGCTTGTCAGTAAAGGAATGCTTCTCTTTTGTCCTCCATGTCTCTGGGGAGCAGAACCACCCTGGAAAACAGGTTAAAAATCACAAACATGTTTTCCTCTGGATCCATACTGTGGAGTTCATATTTAATTACAGCAGAGATGATTATGTAATATCCTCCCTGCCAGGCGGCAGACAACCCAGAGCTGCAGAACCAGAGGCTCTGGGGCGGTGGCTGCGGTTTCTGCAACAGGAACAAGCACGTTTTCACTTACGCTGTGGGTTTCGGGAGAGGGAGGTGGGCAGCGGCCAGGACACAGCAGCCCTCCTGCAGCCTTTGCTTGTGGCTTGTGATGCTGGCACCTCCTGCAGAACTGGGCTGAGGGGAGGAGGAGCTCAGCAACATCAGGAAGGGGGTCCATCTGTTTCTGTGGCCACAGGTGGGTGTCAGTGTTTAAACAAAGCTGTTCCCTGATGCCCAATGTGAACCACTGAGGGGCTCTAGTTTTTAACTTTCCAGGTTTAAAGGGGCTCCAAAGATAAACTCTGTTTTCCTGAAGGAAAGATCCCTGAATAGCGGGAGTTTAAGATCTGAGGCCAAATGATGAGGGGTGATGAAGGAGAGCGTCCGCACCCCAGAGCACAGAAAACACCCCCACCCTGTGGAGCTTAACTGACTACAAGGTGTCCCCACATCTAATGCAGTTTTCTCCTTGCTGTTTTTCTCTTTCAATTCCTCTTTAATGTATACATCTTTCAGTTCTTGAAGGATGCTTTCTAGCCTTTGAGTGCAGAGTTACTCCCTGGGTTCCTCGAATCTATCTGAGCACAAGCCCTGTCCACCTGGGGAACAGAAAACGCACCTTACACACACCTGATCTCAGGAGCACAGCCATGCCGCTGGCATGAATAATGATCACATTTACTGAAGACCCAAAAAAAATAGTTTTATTCGCTTTTTTAATTTTGTATATTTTCTCAGTCAATGTGTGCTCAAAGTACAACCACTTCTGTGTACCCATCCTTGATATTTGTGGATATAAAAGGGGACTCTTGTCAAAAAACATCTTAGGCTATCCACTGTCCTGTTGGAAAATGAGGCCCCTGCCGGATTTCTGAGGCTCGGATCCCTTGTGATGACAGAGCTGACAGCTGTGTCCCAACACAGTTTCCAGTGGCTGCAGGTGGCTGCTTACATTTAGAAGTTCAGTTCCTGGATGGAACCAACCGTGTCTCAGGTGCTCACTAGCCAGATGCTGGCTCTACTACTGCATGAGACAGACACAGAGAATAATAGGAGGGAATTTCTGATCTAACTCATCATTATTAGCTAATAAATTGTGAAAAAAAATTTCCAATTGAAGTTGAAAACAGATTATATTTCCTGCAAGAAATCTCTGGGCCAGAGGCACTTCTATGCCAAGAGCCATACAGAGCTAGGCCAGAACACTCTCTGAAGTCACCCGTAGAAAGCAACAAGGCTGATTGCAAAGCTTACTTAAAGATTTAGATTTTTATTTTATGGAACAGGGTAAGGTAACACATTGTGATCAATAATTGAACTTGTACCAAGATGGGCAACAGTGGAGTAAAATCTTTTTTTTTTTTTTTACTTAAAGTTCTATATGGTATTCTAGACAGAAAAGAATTTAAAATGAAAAGCTCTAAGTGTTGAAGAATACCTTTAAACGTAATCATAGTTTCATCAATCAAAGTAGATTCTACCAATTTAAAAAGCAACTGTTGCCCTGTCCAAATGTAATTAATTTATTTATTCAATCCAAGTGTAATTAATTAATTTATTCAGTTCAGTTCAGTCACTCAGCCATGTCAAACTCTTTGAGACCCCATGGGCTGCAGTATGCCAGGCTTCCCTGTCCATCACCAATTCCTGGAGCTTACTTAAACTCATGTCCATTGAGTCAGTGATGCCATCCAACCATCTCATCCTCTGTCACCCCTCCTGCCTTCAATCTTTTCCAGCATCAGGGTCTTTTCCAAAGATTCAGTTCTTTGCATTGGGTGGCCAAAATATTGTAGTTTCAGCTTCAGCATCAGTCCTTCCAATGAACACCCAGGACTGATTTCCTTTAGGATGGACTGGTTGGGTCTCCTTGCAGTCCAAGGGACTCTCAAGAGTCTTCTCCAACACCACAGTTCAAAAGCATCAATTCTTCAGCACCCAGCTTTCTTTATAGTCCAGCTCTTATATCCATACATGACCACTGGAAAAACCATAGCTTTGACTAGATTGACCTTTGTCGGCAAAGTAATGTTTCTTTTTCTTAATATGCTGTCTAGGTTGGTCATAGCTTCTCTTCCAAGGGGCAAGCATCTTTTAACTTCATGGCCGCAGTCACCATCTGTGGTGATTTTGGAGCCCAAGAAAATGAAGTCTGTCACTGTTTCCACTGTTTCCCCATCTATTTCCCATGAAGTGATGGGGCTGGATGCCATGATCTTAGTTTTCTGAATGTTGAGTTTTAAGCCAGCTTTTTCACTCTCCTCTTTCACTTTCATCAAGAGGCTCTTCAGTTTCTCTTCACTTTCTACCATAAGGGTGGTGTCATCTGCATATCTGAGGTTATTGATATTTCTCCTGGCAATCTTGATTCCAGCTTGTGCTTCTTCCAGCCTGACATTTCACATGATGTATTCTGCATATAAGTTAAATAAGCAGGGTGACAATATGCAGCCTTGACGTACTCCTTTCCCAATTTGGAACCAGTCTGTTGTTCCATGTCCAGTTCTAACTGTTGCTTCTTTTTTTTTTTTTTTTTTTTTAACTGTTGCTTCTTGACCTGCATACAGATTTCTCAGGAGGCAGGTAAGGTGGATTGGTATTCCCATCTCTTGAAGAAGTTTCCACAGTTTATTGTGATCCACACAGTCAAAGGCTTTGGCATAGTCAGTAAAGCAAAAGTTTTTCTTTTTTGATGATCTAAGGGATGTTGGCAATTTGATCTCTGATTCCTCTGCCTTTTCTAAATTCAGTTTGAATTAATGTATTAGATTCAAAAATAATACTAAAATTATTAAATATGTTCACTGTTTTTCCTTGCTGTAACCCCTAGTCAGAAGTCAGGGCTTTATGTTTTGATTATGGATTATAGGAATTTATTTGAAGGAGCCTTTAGATTAAAAGCAAGCTTCACTTGCTGATCCATCCATTTCCTTACCTAATTAACCTGCCTTGGTTTGCTGACCACACAAAGCATCAAGACCAAGACCAGTCTCATCTGTTTGGGGCCAGAGTTGCTGTCTGTGTGCAGGGCCCTGGAGAGGCCCAGAATGCTCTGTCAGTCGGGCAGCAAGGCAACTAAATTAACAGCATTTCAGGGTTGTATAGAAAAGTTTAAAACTTCAGCAGCTTGCAACAAATTTAGTTGTATCAATATCCTTGCATGATTCATTTAAGTTATATTTTCCTTTCAAGTAGACCTGCCTGGGAAAAGAAAGCAACTATCAATGATGTTTAGAATACCTGCCCAATGTCACCACTTGCGTTAATAATGTCTGAGACTTGTGACGTGCCTCTTGCTGTGCAGTGTGTTTCTACTCCATTCTGTCACTTGACCCCCAGGACAAGCCTAGAAAGAGGGAGGACTCAAGTCCTTGGTGTTGGATCTGAATCCAGTGCACTGGACGAACCCAGTGCCTCATGGATACGTCCCTGAAGCCTGAGGATTAGTATTTCAAGGTCCTTCAGAAGTTGCATGTGAGGAGTTTCCTTGGCACCAGTTCAGGGTGGAGCCAAGGTACTTTGTAGAAAACAGAGAAACAGGTGGATGAAATAAGCTTGTGAGATGAATGCTGACAGGGGAGCTTATTTTCCTGAGGGACGAGATAAAAAGATGCTGTTCTGGGGTTTCTCTGGGGGTCTAGTGGTTGGGAACAGGCCTTGCAGTGCAGGGAACACAAGTACTGCTCCTGGCCTGGGGAGACCCTGCATGCTGTGGAGCGGCTGTGCCCTGTTCCGCAGCTGCTGACGCTCACGTGCCCTGGAGC